TGATGCATGCTTGTTTCCTGTACATGGGTAGACATGAGGAGCTTACGCTCTCAAATCTTAGGGCTTATAAAAAAGTGTGTTGTAAGGAGACCTGCTTCCTGGGGCTTATTAGATTAACCCAATCTATCAGTTCCAATGCCACCTAAGTCCAGAATCAGTAATGTGGCACCCAGGAGGTCCAGGAGTCACTGATGGCTGTCAGCTGGGCACAGCAAAGGATAGAGCAGGTTAGGAGTCTGTCTTCAACCCTGGACTCCAGGTGCCCTAATACACGTGGTCACACCTCAGGCCAAGTCAGTTGTGACTACCTGCCTCTGGACTCCATGCAAGACACCACTGTCCCACTACAAACCACCCAGTCACCTTCTTGGGCCTATTCTGATGGCAGACTGAGCACAAGGTCCCTGTCCTTAGTACCACAATCTGTGTGCTGCTCAACTCTCTTGACAGATGAGGTACCTGCCCAAGATGCCAGTGCCTACCTTGGTCATCAGCATATGCATGGCTGATTCTGTCATGTATGCCTTCCCAGGTCAGCCACGAGCTCTTGGGTAGGAATGCTTCGATGATGTTGTTCTATGTCCTCATATAGGTTCTCCACAGAACAGGTGATATGTTATAGATGGCAGTGGAAAGACTGGGTGATGTATGTCAACAGCAGACACGCCTTCTGGGAGCTCAGAAAAACCTTGGAAACAACTTAATCTGACTTCCTGGCCTGATGCTGACAAGCCAAAGCCACTGTGAAATGACTTCTGAGAGTCTCCCACCTCCTACACCCCACTCCAACCTCTGCCAAAATCACTTTCCTTCAAAAGCATTGGAGAAGCCTCTATGCTCACTACAAACTAGTATCTGGGGCAGAGCCTCAGCTTAGTCCTTCACCCTCCCATGACTTCACTGACTGACCCTCCTTACATCTGCCTTGAATGTGCCCCAGGATGGCTCCAGCTAGGCCCAGATGTCCTTGGGACACCCCTCTAAGGGCTAAAACCTGAGAATTCTTCATCCCATGCTCCAGGCTACCCTAGCCAGTCTTAATGCCAACTGCTACATGAAATACCTACAACAACAAAGTCCTAACATGTAACTACCCACTGTTCTGTGAGTCACACAAACACTGCAGTGTAAGCAATGGTGACTCCACAGTTCCTAGGGACAGGAATCTGCCATGCAGCCTACAGAACTTTTCATAGCTTCAGGTGAGGTATCAGCAAGGACTGGAATCTCTCAAAGATGGACTGAGGAAGGCTCTGTCTTCTAGTCCACTCACATGGCTGATGGTGACCTAGGACTCCAGGTGGCTAAGAACACAATTCTTTACCTTGTGGGAGGCTGTAAGGCACAACTTATCATAAGCCAGTGTGAGTGTAAACAGGGAAGTCTCAACTGCAAAGTGTGCTCTCTATCTGCTGGGAGGAGTCTCAAGCCTAGTCTACACCAAAGGAGAGACCATTCTAGAAGCTTCCTGCACCCCTAGACTCATCTCCAAACCCTGAGCACAGCTTTTGCACAAAGAGTCTGGAATACAGAAGCACATTCAAAAGGACCGGGTTCTGGCTCTGGGCAGCACCCGCTCTGCATATCCCACCATTTCTTACTACAGTCACATGACTAATGTCAAATGTGAGTGACCCCATCCCTCAAGCCTTTCTAGCAATTCTATCTAAGTACTGACCTCGCCCCTCCCTAGAAGGCTTGCTTCATCAGCTCCACTCTCACCAGGCTCCTCCAACATAAAATGTTCTCCACAGACAGCCTGTAGAGACCTAAGCACACAGACCACAACTCAAAGCCACTTTTCCCCGTTACCTACCTTCCTATGAGAACTGCCTGGCTCTACAGGTCTTTCCACAGCATTGTCCCTCATACCTGAGACAAGGGCAGTGACAACAGCATCTGGTTTGTGGCCAGGTGCTCTCACTGGCACATGAGCCCTGTCTGCAATACTCCCAAGGACTGGGAACTCAGGAAAGTATTCAATAATATGTGTGAACTGAGTCGCTCATGGATCTCCAAGACTCTTTCCTAAGTAGTACCAGGACATGTGCTAAGTGCAAGGAGGTCCTGACTCCAGCTACCTTCCAGTCAACCTCTCCCTGGGACAATAAATAAGATGGAGATATTCCACCTAAAATGTGAGAAAGAATCAGATGTGAGAGGACACATTCCTGGCAGCAGAACAGGCCATTCTTCATCAGATAGCCATCCAAACACATTGCCTTTTGTGTGGGCATAAAGCTATGTCCTCCATGAGGAAGAGCAGCCTACGGAGCAGGGAAGAGTAAACCAAGATGGATGTCTGAACTTTCGAAGACAAGATGGGCTGGCTGAGCTGGTGAGGACAATGGCCTGGGGCTGGATTAACAGCTGCAGCCCAGCAACCAAAGGACAAATTCCAGAGTTGCTCTTATGTGACGGGCTTAGTCTGAAGGGGGTACTTCTGGCAAGTCTGGATCATGCTCTATGGAGTACCTCAAAAGAGGCTCTCACAGGCTGAAAATCTTTTAGGAGTGGGGACCACCTACCCAACCCATGTCTCTCACATCTGGTGCCAGATGCTATGATAGACTGCAGAAAACCCTGAGAGTACACACATCTCCATGCCCCATGCTGGTGCCATCCTAAGACAATTCACTTCATCCATTTCCTGGCCACAGTCTCATCCAGGACCTGGGGCAGGGTTCTTATCAACAGCCTCTCCATGACATGTGTTCCAAGAGAATCTTAAGCCACATTGTAAGGATAGCCCAGCAAATAAACACCCAGCTGCAGAGAGTGGCTGCTCAAGTGTAGTCTGAGGATGGCAGTGTGCTTCCAGTGCCAGAAAAGGTACTACAATCCCATGGCTACTCAGTCTTGAAAAATGGAAACACTCTGATTTCCAAGATGAGAAAAGCCTTATGACCAGGGTTCTGTCAGTTCAAGAATGAGCACATGGTACAAATGAGTTGATATATGAAGAAATTAAATTACAGGAATTAATACATTGAAGAGGTCATAAGTGCACTCAAAGTTTGAATGACTTCAGGAAAATAGTGCAAGACACAGGCAAGCTGATCCATCTTCTGTCTGTTCAAGGTGTGATTGACGCGATACCTGTTTTATTCATAATGGGAAAGAATTACAAGGAACTCCGAGCTTAATGAGCAAGGCCTGGGTCATGAATGGCCTAAGCAATCACGGGAATGAGAGCATTTGCAATTTACAGGATATTAGGTTTTGTTTCCTGTCATCCAGCAGGGAGCCAATCGATGCACTTGACTGACAGCTACTTTAGCCAAACATCTCCAGGTAAGGCTTTATTTCCCAGCTAATATTACTGAATTGGAATTCTGTAGCTGCCAAGTCCTGGATAGAAGCCCTAAGAATCAGGAACACACTCTGCCATCAAAAGCACCAAGCAACACAGCCCACAGAACATTACCATATAGGCCTCCATGATGGTACCACAGCACACGGGAGGCAGAGCAGACAGAAGGGCTATTTTAATATCATGGGCTATTTGCTGCTTCAGCCATACACCTGACAAGAGCAGATTGAGGGAGGAAGGGTTTGTTCTGGCTCACAGTTCAAGGGGACAGGCCACCATGCTGGGGAAGTCTCAGTGGCAGGAGCAGGAAGCAGCTAGCTACATGGCATTTGCAGTCAGGAAGAAAAGAGCAATGGATGCTGAGGCTCAGATCCCCTTCCCCTCTTCATTTAGTCTGTCAGCTGGGGTGAGTCTTCCAACCTCAACCTAACCCACATATGCCCTCATGGACTGCCCAGAGGCTAACCTAATGCAAATAGTCTCACAAGCAGGCCCAGAGGCTATTCTCTGGGAAACTCTAGAGCTTGTCAAGTTGACACCATTGACAATCATAAAAGGTATTAGAGAAAAAACAAAACAGATATCCACAAAACCCACATATCCAGTGTGGGGCACACAATGCACCACCAGCACCTAGAACAAAGGGTGATGCTATCATTCAAGGGGGTTCCAAGCTCAGGTGGAGATGGTAGACACAAGGGCCCAACAGCACCCTGGTCTGTGGGAAAGATGCAGCATTTAGAACAATGTCCTGTGAATTGCTAAACCAAAGACACCCTAAAGACTTAGTCTTGCTGTGCAAGGGCCCTACCTCTGCCAACCTCTATAAGCTCATGTTCGATGCCCTGATGCTGAGCCCATTCAGAGCCTGGACACATCCCACCTTGTGCTAACACCTGTTACCCGGAGGCCTGTCTTCTAGACCTGCCCCCAGAACCATTGCAGTGCCCCCTTTGCAAAGCCCTGGCACACAGCCCATGGAGGGCTCTCGCAGCAGCGAAGACCTGACTTGACACTTCTGCTGTAAGGAAGAAAACTCACCTGGTGCTTCCTTCCTAGCTCTGTGGAGACCTGATGCCTCACCCCAGGCCATGGTGCCCAGGGCTGCTGCTAAAACCAGTACCCACTCTCCACAGCATAGGCCAGCTTCATCAGGTCTCTCACACAAAATGAAAAGAGGCTAGAATAAGCAATGGACACTCAAGGGAGCTAAGGCAGCTTCTTCCGGAAAACTCAATCTCCTGAAGACATGAATTTCATCAAAATTGGTGAAGAGTAGAAAATTTCATATTGTGCTGCATCTGTCTGAGGATTTCTTTAAATCTTTATTGTAAGTAACTCAAAACATAGACAACGTGTAAGTCCCAAGTGTGAAGTTTCTGGAAGAATTGCTTGGATGTACAGAGAAGGTACCTGATTACTCGGCCACACTTACAGTTTGACTCTGCTTAAAATGTTTAAAATGTAAATTGACAGTGAGAATGGGAGAGACTGTCACCAGCCAGCAGGAGTGCAATCAGGAGACAAAGAGAACCTCATAAAGTCCTCTTCCTGGTTTTACATATAGTCAGATGACAGGAACACCAGGCTAAACATTTTAAAGACTTTGCTGCATGGAGAGGATACTCTACAAGGACGCAGTAGAGGAGGAGGCAGGGCGAGGCAGGGCCATAGGGTGGAGGCTCACCTGGTAGGTGTCCCATAGACGGATGGTGCAGCGGAGGGGCAGTTCCCTCATCAGCAGGTTGTTCATCCAGCGGAAGGCAAACTGCAGGTATCGCACTTCGTGCCCGTCCAGATGGCGATGGACTCGCTCTGCACAACACAAGCACAGGCTGTCAGGAAAGCCTTGGTCGGGGCAAAGGACCAGTTCCACTAAGGAGGGATTCCATAGTCCACTCTTCAAGAAGAAAACAAATAAGGGGCCAAAGAGAGAGCTCCGTGGTTAACTACACTTATTGCTCTTGCAGACAGAGGACCTGGGTTCAATGCACAACACCCAGACAGCAGTTCACAACCATCTGTAACTCCAGTACCAGGGGACGCAATATCCTCTTCTGACCTATGGGGGCACCAGGCATACACATGGTGCACAGATACACATGCAGGCAAAGTTTCCATGCATATAAAATGAGCAATTTTTAAAAATGAGAATAATGATGGTGACAAGGATGGTAATGATGGTGATGACTCAAAGAGTTAACAGCTGCATCAGGTGCAAGTACACATTTGGGGGTCTTTGCACCCCAATACCCAAGAAGAAAAGAGAGTTCATACACATGGGGAGTACAAATTAAGAAACGCATGGCTCCAGTCTCTACAGTGAAGAGGTTAAAGGATGAGGAACTGAGCTGTCAAGCTACTAGAGCTCCCATCCTCACCTAGGTACCATCCCACCTACACCCAGACCCAGCAGACCTTTCCCTGTACAGACCAGGCAGCCTCTAGGTGCAGAGCAAAGTACTAAAAACACCCCGGCTTCACAAAGAGCCAGGCCCTCCAAACACTGTCCCAAAGCATGGACTGTCTTAGAGTTACTATTGATGAGATGAGACAACATGACCAAAAGTAACCTGGGGAAGTAAGTGTTTATTTCACTCCCAGTTCCATATTAACAGTTCATCATCAAAGGCAGAGAAGGGCAGGAACCAGAGCAGGCAGGAACCTCATGGCAGGATCTGATGCAGAGGCTATGCTGCTTACTTGCTTATTGACTTGCTCCCCATAGCTTTCCCAGCCTGCTTTCTTGCAGAACCCAGGACCACCAGCTCAGGACTGACACCACCTACAATGGGCTGGGTCCTCCCCCATCAATTACTAATTAAGAAAATGCCCTAAAGCTAGATCTTATGGAGACATTTTCTCAATTGAGGTTCCCTCCTTTCAGATAACTATAGCTTGTATCAAGTTGATAAAAAACTAGTCGCCACAGACCCCTACCAGCTAGTTACCAGCAATGCCTCAGAAGCAAGGCTTCCGCAACCACTAAAGGCAGAAACCATGTCCTGCATCTCACAGATGACCTGCACACATCAGTGTAAGAATGGATGCACTTAGCCAGGCTGCTGTGGCTGGGAAGTAGTGAGGCCCACAGGAGGTTATGATAGGCTGGCCCTAGAAAAGCAAGGCCCCAGTGGGAAGGCAGTTCCTGCACTCTCTGCTCACTGCTGTCCTTAGCTGGAGAATGATGCTCATGGCACTGAGCCACACATTGGTGGTGCATTGACCCCTCATGTACATGTGTACCTAGGATGGGTCCTTGTACATAGTAGAAGAGGCAGTGAAACCTTTAAGAACTGTGGCCTTGGAGGAGTCCTTACATTAAGGAACTGTCCTCAGAAGGGACTATTGTACTTCTCACAGCTCCTTGGGTGGTCTCATAGAGTGCTGTTACTAAAGAAAAGCCTGGCTGCTTTCTGCCCTCCTCTTTGGCTCCTGTTCTGCAGCATGAGCTGCTCCTCTCACAACTTTACCATCTCTGTGATGCCACCTGTCCTCATCAGAGAGGAAATGATGCCAGTGTCCTATGCTTGAATCTCTGGAACTGAGCTAAGTTAACCCCTTTTCCCTGTAAGTAAGCTGGCTCAGGTATTCCATTATAGTATCACCAAACAGACTAATCTAGGTGGGTCTAGAGGAGAAAGCTTAGGGATTGGGCCATTGTCAATGCAGGGAAGTACAGTGAAAACTCAAGATCAGTGAAAACCAGGTGCAGAACTATAAAATGGAGCTGATGAAAGCAGGAAAGGACACTGGGTGGGGTGATGCCTTATCACTCCCCAGGAAAGGGCTCCTGGACTAAGAAGCAGAAGGACCCAGCAGTCCCCGTGTATCTGCCACAAGCTATTTCTGAGGACAAGACTTAAGAGCCAGGGTCCCAGGCCCAGCAGAAAGAGACCCAACCCTAGCATGCTGGGCAGAGGGGCTGCCTGCATGGTGGCCCTTCCAGTTGGTGTCACTCACTGAAGATGCTCAGCTTGCACACAGGAGTTTGTCTGGATTCTGCTTACTAAAGACGTCTGACACAGACCTGTGCTAATAGAACTAATAGGCTTCTTGATTTTGAACAGGTAATTTTTTTAAAAGAAGACAAAAAATTATTTCAAGCCTGAAATTAACTGTAGTTGTTAAACTGACAGAAAGATCCAAGGGCCCAAGTGGTTCTTTATCCCAGGAACCAATACAGTTCCCCAAGGGCACACCCTGCTGGGAAAGCAGAGGCCAGCACACTGAAACAGGGTGCTACAGTTAATGTAAAATTCAAATCTGATGAACACTTGCAAACCCAGCAGTTTAGAAAATGACTGAATTTACTCAACAAGGTTCTTTCTACACAGGAGCATGAGGAATGAGCGCTCATGAATATGCAGCTGGCTGCTTGGGAACCCACAGGCCCAAGGGTGGTACAGCACTGGAGAGGAAACCCCAGCACCTGGAGACAGCAGGCAATGAGGGCAGGTTGACTGACAACCTCTGCTGGTATCAGAAGGACCTGCTGCCAGAACAGGTGCACCAGGCAGTGCCCTGTTCCATGGGCCATTTGCAGCCACAGCGATCCATTGTCACCAGGCTACGGTGGGTCTCACTTCTACCTTCACTAGTTCATAGCTCTTCAGCTGTCCTAAAGACAGCAGTGCAGGGGTCAGCAGCTACTCCATCATCCCCTCCTCAGACAGACTCGCTGGGTAACTGCCAGGCCTTCCTGGCTAGACCCAACTTCGCTAAGGGCAGAGAGGGTTTCCTTGGAGACTGCGTGAAAGGAGCAGCCGATGCTGGAGCTCTCCACTGAAGACTAAGAAGGGAAAAGTGAAGAAAACAAGCCTGCACAGGGCCTTACATCCAGAAGCCACAGCCTTCTCAGCTGACTCCATTTGGCCGCTAGTACCAGCAGCCCACCTGCAGGGAAGGTCAGAATCTTAGGACCTGGGAAACAAATAGTTCTAACATGCACCCTGGAGGCACGCAGCACTTTTCTAAGACAAACTGGCCAAAAAATGCTCTGAAAAATTAAACACATATTTCTGGACTACCTATCATTGGAGTAACCGAGCCTTCCTGCCTTATACAAGGGACCAGCAAGCTGCAGCCTCTCCCCTATCCCACCCCCCAGTAGGGCTGACTTGGTAAGGGGCAGGTTCTACCAGGCGTGCAGGATAGGCCCCAGGTGTGGTCACTTCCCTTTGCAGAGCACCAGGCCTGCAGAAATGACCACAACACTGACAGCGATAACTACACAGGGCATAGGTCAATCCCTACAGGGGAAGACTTGTTGTGCATCAGTCTGCACTGAGAATACACAAGGGGCCCTCTACCAGGGCTGCCTTTGAAACGAAGCCACCGGAGGGTAAGCTGTTCCTCCTCTCCAAGAGCCAAGCAAGACAAGTCCGGTGCCTCTCAGCTGCCCATGATACCAGGCTTCTGAGCACTTGACCTTCTCTTGAGCTATTTGGAGTTTGCTAAAGGGCAAACACGAGACCATGAGGACCCCTGTAAGCGTCTGTGGCCAGTGTTCTGCTGGGTGCCCTAAACACTACCAGGTGAAACCCCTGGAGCTACCTGGACAGTGTCCTTGTTCATAGGGAAGTGGCCACTTTTCACCGACTGCATGATACTTGGGGAGCAGGTGATGAACGATAAAGTGGACCAGCCACCAGCTCTTCAGCCAGTTTCTAATGTGTATAGTGAGCCTCCGGAAAGGCTGCTTCCTACTCTCAACATGGTGTAAGGTGGACCACTGAATTCTACACACATTAGACTGCGAGTGTGTGTGCTAAAATAACCCATTTCCCTTTTGTTATAAGCAGCCACAAGCACATGCTCTCTCACTGATAAAGGAATCTGCTCAGCAATAACTCTAAAACCAGGATTTCCATTTCACTGGTAATCAGGGTTCAAGCATAATGAACAAGTGGGCAGATATAATTACTGCCATCTTTCAAGCCAAAACGTCCTGTATGGCAGGGCAAGGTGCACTCCTGTAAAGTCATCAGAAGGGACAGTAGCCAGAGCCTGCAGAATGCTCTCCTCTGTGCATTCAACAGTGGGCCCATGGGCTGAAACCCTGCAGAAACATCTAGTCTTCTAGACTGAAAGTGCAAGTAAATTATGCAAACACACTGCATCCTGGCGCTCCCACTACAGGTTAGCAGTATTGACGTGGGACCAGGCAACACGGATTTATTTGTGCAAAGAGCATACACAATGGCTCACCTTAGATGCCTGACAAAGAAATCTTTTAATCTCCATGCTGAGCTAAGGGCTGACTGAACACTGCCTACTTTTGCTGGGCCTGGCTTGAATGGGTTTTGATTAAAGGGAAATATTCCGACCCTCTCATCAGTTAGGAGGACAAAAAAAGAACAGAAACAAGAGCAACAGACAGTCAACACGGGGCCTCTGCCATGGAGAAGTTGTTCTCTACAGCAGGAAACGTCGGGTCCCAAAAAGGCACTGCACCAGCACACCTGCCAACTAGAGGACCTGGGGACCTGCTGTGCCATGGTGACAGGATAGGGGCTGCCACCTTCAGAGAGGAAGCCCGACCTCAGAAAACCATACTGGAGGTGATGACAGCAGCAACTACCTTCCCTGAGAACCGTCAGGGAGCTTCCCCTCAGCAATGCCAGTGACCCAACCTCCAACAGAGTGGGCTCAGAAAAATGACAGGAGGGTAGGAAGTTGGAGACGTCACCACAGATGCCCTATAGGAAATAAGGACTATGTAGGCATACAGGTCAGGGCTGTTCAAACCAGGGCTATGGAGACCAGGGCTATGCAGATCAGGGCTATAGAGACCAGAGTTCTAGGGAACATGG